AAACTGGAGGTCTCCAGGCCCCACATGTTGTAGTAAAGCTTGCGGCCAGGCTGTGGCTCCCTCTCTGCGCCAGACGGAGCGCGGCTCGCTGAGCTCTCTGACAGCCAGCCAGTCCTATTCTGTTGGAGTAAACACAAACTCCTCCTTCCCGGTGACAGGCGGCAACACTGAAGCGTCGCCTCGCCTTTTCCAAGACAATCTGCGCTCAGGACTTAACGCTGAAGCCGTGGAGGTGAGTGCTAACATGACTTTATTTCACGCCGTCGTCTTTTTGCGTATCGGTGGCGAGAAGGAACCGTCAGTCAGCTCCGTGGTTTTCCAGTCACACAGAACGCCGTGTTACCTGTCCTTTACGCACAGCAGCGCATGGCTGATTTTTTTCCCCTCTCTCTTCGCATGAACCGTCCATTTCAGGTGCGCTTTTTAAAAAATGTATTTATTTCCTTGTGGCAGTCGTTCCATTCCCTGTTAGAGTCACGATGTTCATGCTTTAATTGCTGGAGCTGCCAACCTGCAGAGACTTGAGTCCACCCGGTGCGTCAGTGTGCGTTAATTGATCGAGCGTGTGGAGCGGTGTCCAGATCTTGGGTCGTTTTTGCTCGTCGTTCATCTTCTCCGTTCGCCTTTTGCATCCACCACAGGGAAGATTATCGCTCTTTTCCTCATTTTGCGGTCGCTGACTCCTTGTGTGTGGGCTGTAGTTGAGCCAGTTTCAACATGTCGGTGAAGCGGCGCTGCGTTGGTACTTCAGAGATCATGGATGGATGTGAGATCTGCTGCCATGGGAGGAATCTCACTCAGGTGCTTGGAGTCTTGAGATTTGACTCCTGTTTCAATATTTGGCTGCTAAACAGTGTTTTTTTCTTCTTCTATGGATGGCAATGCAATAATGACTGGACATGACATTAACCCCCACAGGGAGGTTTCTCCTCGGGGAGGTCAGAGGTCAGGGTCAGCAACAGATCAGCATCTCTGGAGCAGATTGTCTGCAGCAGGTCGCAGGCTGAAGGGAAGCTGCGGTTCTGCTCTGAGGCTGACGTTTTTCCTATCAGACCATGGAAATGAAAAGTTAAATGAACCAAGACACAATCAAGATCGTGCTCCAGTGACCGTTAACAAGAGAAGCGACTCCGACAGCTTTTACCGCTGAATAGATTTCAGTCTCGACACCCGTCCGAACACACAACAGATTCGCGTTCGCTCATTTTTTCCCTCTCATTTATCGTCCTTGTTTAACCTGCGCTGACAGATTCCGAGGATTAAACGCTGTGCTGTTAGTGCATTTTGGGCCGGACGACGAGCTGAGTTCGTTAACGTCAAATAGATGCTGCTAAATTGCTTGTAATAAATCCATTAGCCGACCTGACAGGGCCGATTACTGCAGCCACGAGCAAGGCTGCCGTTTGAATCAACAAACGAGCAAAGAAGCGCGCTTTAATTTGCAAAGTTTAACTTGCTTGAGTCCTGAAAACGATAAAAAAAAGAGTCTTCAGAACGAGAGAAGTCACAGATCTCTGGAACAAGAGAGGCCTGATTTGTCTTCGGTTTAACTTGAACGCTCGGGACAAACATCAAACCTGCCAAGCGAGCAAAGGTCAGCTGTCTGATCCTGGATCCAAGACCGCCGCGCTCTGGGAACACACAGAGCTTTTGTTGAATCAAAAGACTCAAGGAGACAGTGAGGTATTAATTTCACTCTCACAAGAAACCAGCGAAAGTGGCTGGAGTGTCTGAATATTCTTTATTTTTTTATCTGCGTTCATTCAATTCACGGCACAAGTTACTTCGGGGCTCTTATTGTGAGGTCAGAATGTTATATTAAAAAGAGGAAATCCACTTGTACCGTTACAGCAACGCACCTCGCTTCAATTAATCCAGTCCCGTGTCCTCCTTCACCTTTATTTTCACGTCTCCTCTTTTGTCTCGTACGTCGACAGCCTGCGTCTGTCTGTTTCATTGTGAATTCCATTTGAATTATGCAACACGGACCCCAGGAAGAATCGCAATTGCTCTGGCAGAAGCTAATGAGGATGCAATGAAATAAACAAATAGTCTGCGCTCGCCAAGACAAATGAGATTGTGTAAGGCCGCAGGAAGGAGAAACATTTGACTGCTGAGTGCTGTTGGCAGATTGATTTGGCTTTCATCTCCTCACTGTTTATATCTGACTCCAGTGAAATTCTATTCTTTGAGGGTAATTTGCTGGAGAAAAAAAAAAGGAATCTCCATTGAAGAATATCTGGCGTAAATTAATCTGTGCCATAATCAGAAGGCCTTGTCTGTCTGTCTTATGTTTGGCTTTTACCTTTAGAGACGCTTTATTTCACAGCGACGGCTAATTTATTAAAGAAATAAGAACGAGGAGCTTTTTATACTCAATAAAACGGGAGTAGCTCCTCAACAGGTTTTTAACTGCAGCAGTTAGTTTTAACCCGCATTTAATTGCTGTTTAACGCCACTAAAGACACTCTTTTCTAGTTTTTTTTCCCTTCTTCCGCTATAGTTGGAGCTGTAAAATGGTATATTGGAGAGCTTGTGAAGTGCACGTCGTGTGAGCGTGGGCGGTGCTGCGCGAAACGAACAGATGTGGTGATTAATGAAATCCACAGCGAGGTGGAGGAGAGGAACGAGCTGTTCATACCTGGAGCTTCCAACAGCTCGCTGGGTATAAACCTCAAATTGCCAGCCCTGGAGTTAATCCCTGCAGCTCGCCCACCTTCCATCTATCTGCCCGCCGCCGCCGCTCTCTAAGTCCTGGAAACACTTAGATTCTAACTTTGAGCCGCCACGGCGAGGCTCCACGCCGCGCTGCACTAACTCCGCTTCAAGGTTTTTTTTTAAAAAGCATTTTCCTCAAACAGGCAGAGAAGGAGCTAATTGGTGTAAAGTCACGACAATTAGGGACGAGCCCCGTCTGACCTCAGAAGTTGTCAGATATTAGCTGGCAGAAATGGTTGGAGGCAGCCTGGAAGACAAGGGGCTCATGAATTAGGCATCGGCACAGTGAGATCTTTCCTTTTGATACGAGCAGCATTTGTATCCAACCTGTTATTTTTTCCTCCTGCTCGCCTCAGTGGAAGCTCGCTAAAGAACATTAAGCTGCAATATGTTGCAACCTGAGGCTTGTTTGTGCTCGCGGCCAGAGCTGCAGATTTCAAACCCTGCAGTCTGCTTTTGGATTTTTTTTTTTTGGCATCACGCTTAAATGATTTAGTAATGATAAAGCGTGTTACAAGTCATGCAGAGAGAGAAAGAGATACAGATTTAACCCACGTTAGCCGGGCGACTGCTTCAAAATGAGGGCTGTAGGGGCAGTAAACGTCTCGCATGAGGTGGGAGGAGTTATTTAAACAGGAAGTCTAA